TTCCTTTCTTTTTTTCTTTGCCCGGCTATCTTCTCTGGCTCCAGCCAAAGAAGAGGTGCAGATCTGAGGGTCTGTGCCCCAGGCGACAGCCTAAGAGGCTACAGACTGGCCAAGATTAAGAGTGCAGGTGGAGTCAGACCCAACTACTGAGGAGTCAGACAGAAGCCCTGTGCTCTCCCACCTTCCTGGGGCCATACTCTGGGCCATCCTCTGTCCTGTGTCTGTGGGGTCTCGTGACCCTGTGGGTCTTGGACCCTGTGGTTCCTGCAAGCTCCTAGCTAAGATGTTTTCCACCCCACTTCCAAGGCTTGCCAATGCACCACAGGGTAGGGGCGCTGACTACTGCGCTAAGCCCAAAGAACCAGGTCTACGTGGGGTCTTCAGATACCCTCGAGCACCTGGATGGGGAGCCCCACCAGAGCAGGTGAGCTCCCCAAAATTCATGTTGGAATTCGAGGCCCCGTGCTTGGCAAATGAGCCTCGCTGCTGGGTGAGTCACCGCAAGCAGGCGACAAGGGTTTCCAGCAGCTGGTAATTAATTGAACTGTGGCTCAGCCCAGGACGGAACCCCAGTCAGGCCTCCCGCAGGCCCGGCAGCGGTGGCATCCTGAGTCACAGCCGTCGGGCCTGGGTGCTGTCCGAACACCCCCCTCCGTGCATCGGCGCCACAAGGGGGCGCTGGACTCCGACCCACAGGTCGGCTGGCTTTGAACCAACCAGCTTGCAGCACAGTCCAAGCTGTCCCTACAGGCTAGTGCGGGAGCGGAGGATGGGCTGCCCTTCCCTGACAAGGTTCCAGGCTTTGCGCAAAGCCTCTTTTATTTGGTTTATGGAGTTCCAATATACATATAGCTTTTCGAGAAAACAGAAAGGGACTTCACCGTTCAATTATTCCAAACCCCTTGTTTTACAGGTAAGAAGCTCCCACAGGAAAGGACCACCACCTTCCCAGGACCACATAGCCTCTCCCATCGAGAACCAGCAATCCCTTCTCCTCCCCAGGCTTCTGTCCAGCGTTCCCCCGAGGACAGCTGCTTTCTGATCCCAAGTTCACCGTCCACACAGCACAATCCAGTCCTTGGATGTCCCTCAACTGCAGATGGAACGAGCTCCTTGGGGCAGATCCTGGGTCTTGACTATCTTCCCTGAATCCCTTGTGCCATCCCCAAGGCTACTTGCTCAGCTCTACAGGTTGATGCCCAGAGAGTCCTAGACTGGTGATTTCACCTCTTTCTCTACCCTGGTGGTTCTGAGAGTCCTAATTTCCAGGGTTGGGTGCTGAGTCCAGAAATTCTTCAGGACATCGGCTGACCTGGGCTCATCTGCCCACCTCTGCATCAGTGATCGCTCTCCCCCACCTAGGGCTGCAGATTGATTAGGAGTAACCCTGGGGCATCTTCTCCAGACAGACATGACTAAGAGATTCAGGGAAGTGCAGAGAGGGAGAGGGAGAGAAAGAGGCTTCTAGAACACAAGCCACAGCTGTGGCTGATGAACTGGCTTCAAAGCCTCTCTGTGCCCCCTCCAGGGGTCAGTCCCTGGGCCTCCTTGCACCTCAGTTCTTTAATAAAAGCAAATGCATCTTACTAGCTAATAAAACACATCATGGTTTTATAACTCTACCGCC